ACTTCAATACGCTTAATTTTAGCTATTATAGCTAGTTTAGATTTAGAGTTACATCAAATGGATGTAAAAATTGTCTTTTTAAATGGAAGACCAGAAGAGAAAATTTATATGGAATAACCTATAGGTTTCATTGACAAAGGTTAAGAGTAAAAAATATGCAGACTATTAAAATCGATTTACAATCTTAAGCAATCTTCTAGGTAATGGTATATTAGATTTCATCAAACGATAACTTCATATAATTTTATCATGATTGATAAGGACCACCATGTGTAAGTAAAAAAAGATAAAGATAAATTTGTGATTCTGTCACTTTATTTAGATGACATATTATTGGCTAGTAATGACAAAGGCATGGGCCAAAACCTGGTTGTCTTCAAATTTCGAATCAAAAGACATAGGTGAAGCAGCTTACAAACTTTGTGTAAAAATCATGAGAGATCGTTCCAAGAAGTTGTTAGCTCTTTCACAAGAACAATACATTAAGAAAGTTCTAGAATAATTCAATACGTAAGACTGTAAGCCGATTGATACTCTTATGGCAAAAGAAGAAGGCTTTAGCCAAAAAATATGTTCTAAGACTCCACTAGAAGAGGAACAAATAGTAAGAGTTTCTTACTCTAGTGCTGTTGGAAGCCTTATGTATGCTATGATGTGTACAAGGCTGGATATCTATTATGCCGTGGGCATGATAAATAGATATCAATTCAATCTAGGTCAACCCCATTGGAAAATCGATAAAATGATATTGAGATTTCTAAAAAATACTGTGGATTATTCGTTGTGCTATCAAGAAAATGATCTGCATTTGGTTTGCTAAATCGACACCGATTGGGAAGGAGATTTATGTGAAAGAAAATCCACATCTAGCTACGTTTTCTTGCTAAATAGTGGAGTTATTTCATAAAGCATTAAGAAATAGACTTGTGTAGCATTATCCATAATGAAAGCTAAACTTGTAGCACTTTCAGCGATAGTGCAAAAGGTTGTTTGGCTTAAGAGATTCTTGAATCATTTACAATTTAAGAATGATGAATCCAACTCAATGTTCGTACATTTTGATAATCAAGTTGCAACTACATTCATAAAGCATCCTAAATATCATTCTTTATAAAGCATTCTAAATATCATTATAAGTCTCAACATTTAGATACCAAGTTGCAAAAAAAAAAAAAAAACCAACATACAGTACATTTTTACATATAAGATGATTGTCGATCCATTTACTAAGCTCATACATAGAGATGTATTTAATAGCCACATGAGATCTCTAAGACTAAGTAAATGTTGATGTACATATACTGGTTGAACAGTTTTATATGAAAAATATATGATATTTTCCCATTTTAGTTTACTTATGTTGAATACAATTAATGCCATTAAAGTTTAGTACTTTATTTTGTGATATATGCATACATTTATATGTATATGTACATATACGAAATAATTTGAAAGATATGTTAGATAGATAATTGGCCTTCTCACATTGGCAATCACCTCAATGGTTTGGCACCATGGAGATGAGATTAGTTTATAGCTATGGATCGAAAGCCCAAGCTTAAAAGGAAATCGCCTTCACAAGAGATCAAAATGAGGTCACTCGATATTGAGATTTGTGATCGTAAGTGAATAAACCCATAATTCACTTTGCCTTTCTTAATATGTCAAATGAAAGCTTTATTGATTATATGAAATTAAGTAGAGTTATGGACTTAAGTTAGATATTGGGGATATCTAAAATATCACCTATACGGTCTTGATATATAAATGATGAAAGACACATTCTTGGGAAAAGGAAAGTAATACCATGGCATGTGTTTCATAACACATATGCATTGTTTGACCAATAAAGGTAACAGAAAAATAGGTCTTTACTTCTTATTATATGGAACCTTTAAGATAAGAGGATCTCATCTTTAGTACCCTTAAGGACTTCAAACTATTTCTTAAAATTTTAGTTCAATATTAGCTATCTTGGGTTGTTGCCAATAGTCATGGATGATTCAGTCTAATGGAACATAGCTAGATAGCAATTGAATTGAACTGGAGAGATTCTAGAAGAAAGGAAGATCATTTTGGTGTCATACTTAGTTGTATTCACAAGTAGACCAATTATGTTTGAAACATCGAATATAATTGTGAATACACAAGTATATCATGTAATATGATAAAAAAGAGATGGTGAGAAACTTGAAATATGACCGAATGGGTCTAAGGTGTTGCACACTTACTCTACTTGTACTCGAGAGTTACTATACATACCTAACAGTTATATAAGTGACTAAATGTGATTAAGAGTTGCTACATGCACCTAGCAGTCGTATAGCAATTGAACTCTCAAAGTATGCTGGTCATACAACTTATTTTCTTGAATGAACTCGATGCAAAGAATAAAGAAAATGTTTTCGAGATCATAAGAGTTTGTTGCCCATTCTATGCAAGTGGGAGATATAGGAATAATCACACCCAATGAGTGGGCGTAATCCCACGTTGCAAAAAGAATTGCCTTTGGGCAAATATTGGTTTAATTGTTAAACCAACATAAAACTACCATGGGCAGTTCATGAAACTGCCACCCGTCTCATCTATTTTTTTTAGGAAAATGACTTTCAGCCATTAAAAGGGGTAAGAGAAAAAGTTTTTCATAAGAAATAATAGAGAAAGAAAAGAGACCAATTGGTGGGTAGTGATAAAAGCTCAAAAAGAATTCTTGTTTTGGTGTGTCAAAGGATTTACACTGTGAAAACAAACAACTTTCCAATTGTGATTTTGTTCAATGATCAATAATTTAAGTCAGGCTTTAGCTTCCGTTTCCGCTAACAAATATATATACGTATGTGATTATGTTTGTATATATATTATGTACGTATTTGTTTTTCAAACAAGCTTCCTAATATCTACCAATCCACGTTGGCTGTCTCTCAAATCCCTCCTCCTCATCGGCGGTTAAGGCGTTAGGGTGTGCCCAAACAAAATCCCTACAAGAAGCCTTATCAGCCACTCACTCATTCCCCAATGGGGAGGAAGATCAGCAAAGAAGCCATGTTTCCAAGAGGTTCGGTAATGGTCGATAAATTCTAAGATTGGTTTGGCATTAATGGCAAGGAACGCTTATTAATCTTAATAGTAAAGATCTTCCTTTGTCTTTGGTGAGTAACAATTGCTTGATATCATGCATGTTCCACAGGAAGATGAGGTAAGTCGAGCTCTTTTGCAATGGCGCCTTTTAAAGCCCCAGGTCCTGATGGGTTTCAAGCAAGGTTTTACTAGTCTAATTGGGAAGTAGTTAAGGAATATGTGTGTCTCTTTGTGAGGGGAGTAGTACCTTTTTGACAGGTAAATTTGATGCAATTCTTAGTCTTGATTCCACAAATTAAACGGCTAGAGCGGACATCACATTTCAGATCATAAGTTTGTGTAATGTCATGGTTAAATTGATTTCTAAAACCATTGTTAGTCGGTTGCGACCTTTTTCTACATAATTTGGGTGCCCCAACGCAATGTAGTTTCATTCTGGGTTGAAGTTTCACTAACAACATTGAGATAGTTCAGAAAGCGATGCACTCATTTGGCAGGAAACGGGGAAATGTTGGGAGTTTGATTATGAAAATTGAGTAAGAAAATCAAATGAACGTGTTAGCTGGGATCGATTTTCTTTAAGATATATCTCGTCTTGCATTCCACACTTAAATCGGGGACTTCGATAAGGTGATCCTTTGTCTCCATATTTATATTTTCTTTGTCAAAACAAACTTCTTTAATTGGTTGTGGTAATTAGAGACCTTAAAAGTTATCTGAATAAGGTCTTGTACTCTTGCATGTCCTTTTTGCAGAAGATTTGGTCTTCATTTGAGCAATGCGAAGTGGTGGTGGATTGCTGCAAATTTTTTGTTCTATCTTGAGACAAAAGGCTTATTTTCAAAACTCAAAATCCATTACTTCATCTAAGGTTTTGGCTGATTTAATCTCCAGGCGTTGAGGAGCTTACTGGGATAAAGGATAAAGCATTGTAGGCATATACACAAATATATATATATATATATATATATATATCTGTGTGCGTGTGTAATCCAATTGAATTATATATTTTATTAATTTTATAATTTTTAAAATTTTTATAAAATAAAAAATATTTTATATATAAATTTTTTAAATGTTTTAAAATAATATAAAAATTAATTATATATATTATATATATATATAATCCAATGAACCAAACAACAATCTGTTTAGAAAAATTGATTTTTTAAAATCTATAATACTATAAAGTAGATACAGTGTTTTCTTATTTAAAGTCTGCTTCCGTGGAGGTCAGGCAACATTAGAAAGGAATGGAAAAATGAGTTGAAGTTAAACTTGGATATTACATTCCAAATATCAAGTTCATTCATTTCAGTACAAACGAGGCGACCGATCCTTTAACAACCTGTACTTCAGAGAGTAAAATTTCTCAGATTCTCCAATTCTAATGAATTTTCTAATCACTACGTCAAACTGCAATAATATCCTTGGCTAAGATTAAACAGGGAACTTATATACAATAAATCTGACATATTGTACGTAAGTGCACAATAAATCTGACACACATTGTAATTGTATCCTGCTAACAAGTGTTATCCTGTTAGAACAGCTCCATCAACTGCTGTGATACATCTGCATCAGGCGGAAAATGACATGATCATTCGCATTATACTCAGCGGTTCCTATGGCTGTTAGTGGTAGTAAATGGGCAGGTTTCGACTGTTATGGGTTTAGACCATTCTCGGATTCAGATTTTTCAAGTTAGAGTTACTTTTAGGCAATTTTAAATTTTGTCTAAGAAATAACCATTTCAATATGATTTTTTGTTTCAAGTTGTTTTGAAATTGGTTAGTCTCCTGTTCTAGTCATTTATATGATATCAAAATATGTGCATAACCACATAAATCCAATGCAGATTCTCAAATAGTTAGAGACGCCATGGATGGATTACCTTTGAGAATAGCCGGAGTTGTTTGAAATTCTTGCCAGATATCATGGTAAGAAGCAAGATCAAAACTTAGAAACTTGGCCGCAAGATAAGCAGCTCCAGCAGCAATGTGATGAGGTTTAAATTGTAGCCACAATGAGCTCCTGAGCCTGCAAAATAGAACTCACACTTCACAAACTATTCAAATAAAAAATAAAGGAATAGAACAGGACAGCCATTATTGCTTATTAAATGTGAAGAGTAACATAAACAATTACAAACCAACCATGGGAGCATGAAACGAACAGGCAATGACTTGTACAACTTAGCACATATCACCACAGAAACCACACATCAAACACAAATAATACAAGATATAATCAAAACATTAATTTGAAGTGAAAAGAAAAGAAAGAAAAAAAAAAGCAAGTCATTTTTCCTTACCAACTAATGGCATCAATCCAGGTAGAATATTTTCCAAGAATCTCTGCACCATGGTTGATAGAGTACGACAACTATAGCAAACATGTTATACCCACCTAGAGAACAAATCAATTCCAGCCCAATCTGCTGTGCTTTTAACTCCAGTAATATAGTCATATCAAACATAAAATAAACAGAGGTAGCAGCGCAATGTAGATTTCAAAGCAAGTCTCTTCAGCTCAGTTATCTGAATCAACAAGAAAGCCTCACCACTCATGGAGAACGCATGGTACCACAATTATATAGAACTAAGGCAGGCAAGAATTAAGCTATGAGCGATATTTGTAATCTACTCAATATAACATAAGGTACAACATAATGCTGTATTATTGTTGTACAGATAGTAACTCATAAACCAGTATAAAATATTATATACAGATGCCCTTTGTTAATAAACCAAAGCTCAAAAACAAAAAAAAAAAAACCAAAAAGATAATGTTAAAAATAATCAACTTTTCAAAAAAAGTTAAAATGTGAAGAATTAGTGGGTTGTAAATGCAACGAGGGCAGTGGGGCAGCAACTATAGATATAGTAATAAATAGTTGATAATGGGGGAAAAATACAAAGCACGTGTACGCACATGCGGGCACACATACATAACATAACATATATATATTTATGTATATATATATATATATATAATTTCCATAAATTTATTTTTCTTCATAATTTGGCCCTATAAAGCCCCTAGCTTGGCATGAAAGTGGTAGGACCAACAAGGACAAGGATAAATAATTTTTGAACAGATCTGATGCACAGAACTTTCAATAATTATCATCTCCGGCTGGAAAAACATTCTTCCACAAAACATCAGGCAGTAGAAGACTATGCCATGTCTTGAACCAGCACCATGCATTAAATAATCACATGACCCAGGCCCAACAAGATTACCGGTCCAAGCCTGATTCAAAAAGAAATTAAAGAACTCAGACTGCCTAGTGGCACAGCAATTGAGATAGGCTTCATACTGTCTATTCCAATTGACTGTAAAGACCCAAGTGCGTATATGCCCTTTTGACTGAACCCATTCTAGTTCACCCTAATTACAGGGTAACATTTTTCAGTATTGATAACTATTGCTTCATAATGTCAACAACTTTAGTTAAAAAGTTGTCATAAATCCAGTATTTACCCAAGTGCTCTAAGCAATAAAGCCATTCATGCTTATCAAGCATACACAACCGCCTTCAACAGATGCAAGATATAAACTAGCATTAAAGAAGTTTGGATTTATTCACAGATTTCTTTTGGATATCCTGCAAGGACAAGGCATCTTTCATTTCATCTTTGTATTTTTCTCAATCTTCTAGCAAATAATATATACCTAAATATATGTACACATTACAGTATTAGGTTAAGTATTTACATAATTGTGTAATAGACATAAAAATGAGTTGACCACCCGCATAGAGCAGGGTTGACATTATCTGAAGATAGTATAATAGATAGATGAAGAAACTTAAATGAAATGACAAAATTCAGTTTGAAACACAAATTAACTGTCTTTAAACTAAAACTAATAGAAACAAATCATTTTAGCTGAGAGACAAAAAAAGATAAATCATTGAGGAGAATAATACAACTGAAATGTTTCAATAAGGGGAAAGAAGGAAAGACAATAGACGTCAAACTAACAATATTGTCCAAAAACAAGTATCTTTCCAAAAGCCAAACAAACGCTTATATTTAGCAACACCAAGAATTCAACCACAAGATATGACTCAATTCAAGGTTTAGAAACAGGTCAAAAGGAATGGTGTAAACCTAAATGAGAATCACTGGGTTCTAATAGAACAAAGACAAATAGACTTGGACATGCATGTTTATGCCTTTTCATTATATTTTGGAATTGGTTGCATTATGCCATGCATGTTTATGCCTTTCCATTATATTTAGGAATTAGTTACTTCATGCCATGCTACCAGATCAATTTATTTTTTGCAACTAAACCATCCCAAATGACTGGTACTGCAAGCTAGTTTACAATCCAAAAACTATAAGTAGACTCTAAATTTGAAAGGAATGAAGCCTAGACATAGGATACTCATCGAGCTGGTAATCAAATCAAAAAGGAAAACTTTTTAAATAATAAGCAACCCTTGAAAAGAGGTTTTAACTCTCATTAGAAAGACATTGCCATTGGCAAAATCAAACCAGAGCTCCTCATTTGAAAATTGTTCTAAGAAGTAGACAAATTAGTGAATCAAAAAAAGAATTTTGGCAAAACCAAAAAGCCTTTACTTAAGAGGAAAAAGGTAGGCTAATAACAAACCATGACTTCATAACTTGGAAAATCATCACCAGACCAACACATTGTTTATATTATTCTTTTTAAAAAGAAAAAAGGAGGGAAAAACCCCACTATTGAACCTTCCAAGTCAATAATTTTTCTTCAGATCAGTGTGGAATGGAAACAAACTGGGAGGCAGCCAGATTTCACAAACTCAAAGTTTGTGCATGGACTCCAGAGAAGTGATTGTGATTCCAAATAAACTGAAACTCAAAAAATGAAAGGTGTTAAAAGTAAAATAACAAGACTAGTTTCTGTAGGTTCTGTGGCTGTCATAGCCATAACCAAGTTGATGGGTAAAATCATAGGAAAGAGAACCAAAAACATCAGCAGTTCAACTTCAGATGTAAAAACAAAATTTTACATGAACAGCTCATCAATCTGCCAGCTAACAATATCACATAGGCGAGCATGCTAATCTTGAAAAGATCCTGCAATTACATGCCATGCCAAAATAATCAATATGCCATACCAGAATAACTATGTGGGAGTAGCTGGGCTAAAGAAGAAAATTATGGACAGAAGTACATTTTTGGACAAGATGGAAGAAGATAACCTTCAAAACCTTCTTCATACCTGAACTCATTTTTTGAACTAATTCATAGGGACGACATGGGACCCACCCCACCCAAAATCCAATTAAAGTTGAAAGTTAAAACCCCTTAAAGTCCGCTAATTGAAGGCATTGGAACAACCATTACTCCAAGTGTATAAAGCAGCTACTCAATCATAGCCACAAGAACACATCCCAATCTATGAGCGTTATTCTTAGACTACTCAGAATAATACAAACATCAAAACAAAATAACCAAAGCAAAATGGTACCTGAAAAGACAGAAGGATCAAAACCATTGTACGTGTAATAAGACCATTGTGTATTGCATCATGCTGAAGTTCAAAATGCAGCAGCCAATTTTACTTCTAAAACTAACTGAGCTAATCCTTACAAACATATTGCATCTGAAAAATTAACATCAAATAAAAATAACCAGTCAAAATTGAAGCATTAAAGATAATCTTACCCTTCACTGACCAAGTTTAATGCCAGGTTCACCAAGACAGTTTGTGAAAGGCCCAATTTGTTAAGAATAGATGTAAGAGGAGCATATGGATGCTGCACGTTAAGTTCAAAGTTTAAAGTAGTCAATATCATTTGCTCTGCCTCAATCACACGTTCCCGATACTGCTCAAACCAATCCTGTTCAACAAACAACTCATTTAATGTTAGCACATGAAAACTAATATGGCAATATTTTCCCTTTTCCCTTTTAATGCAAGTAGCAACAGTAAAATCCTTTTTATGTAAGCCAAAACATTTTACATATCTTGAAGCATGATAATGTTGGATTAATTTATAGCTGTCTGTATGTTTTGAACTGCAAATGTATTGTTTAATGCTTAAATTCCAAGAAACTTACAAGACTAAATTAGCATTTAGCTGCAAAACATGAATTTTTATTCCAAGCTCGCTTCATTACCACTAAGCTGCAGTCCATTCATAAAAAAAACACGCTTTCCATGGATGACAATATTCAAAACGATTAAATAGATGTAATAGCATTACATTCACTTCTACCCTGCTAAAAAATTTAATCCCTTTTACATGTCTTTTCTAGGAAAGACTAGAAGAAGCTCCAAAGGCACTCACAACTGAGAGCAGATGGGATAAGAATGTAACATTCTGCTTATGGAAAATCTCAGAAGATGCTCTCAACACATTGTTCAAAGGGCGAGGTGTCTCCTCGGACTTTGCAGCAAGGAAAAGAGCAGCAGTAGCAATCAACTGCAACAGAGCAAAATTAATGGTGATAGTCTTTCATCGTAAGTCAACCAGTATATATGAATTATCTATAATTGAAAATATTCTCATTGAGGTGATAAAATGGTGAAAGAACACTTAACGGTAGGCAACTTGACCTAAACCTCAACAACTTCATGATTTAAGAGTGTATAACTTCTAACTGAGATATATGGGGAAAAATGTTCAAAGCATAACAACATGGTCAACCAAGGAAAAGAATAACAACCTTCCACAAGTTTAAGAATTTAGGGTTCTTATCCCTTTCAGGAATAAAATTCCAAACAACTAAAATCTGCATTTGCTCCAAAAAGATGAGAAAAGAAAGGAGAGGGGTGTCTAGAGAATACAACAGAACTTGAGTCAAGCTATGAAAGCAACAAAAAGTTTTTTTCTTACCAGTCCATCAACATAATGTAGAAACATGTTAACTTTTTAACCCTGCTTGTTGAGTTCAAAAACTCCACCAATAGTGTATAGGATAATTTTCCATCAATAAAAAAGTAATAAATTCCTTAAGCATGAGTATTTGGAACTCACAAATCTATCATGGCAAGCATGTGATCTTCGGACAAAAAACCGATGACACAGAACCATGGCAGTGCCAATAGTAGTTTGCGGCCTGCAAAACACAACATGGATTTGATTGCATCAGAAATATGCATAAATGATTTAAAGAACAAGCTGAAGGAAATAGCAGAACTAAGAAACATATTCAAGATCAAGAGCTCACAAATCAAGCTGCAAACCGAGATTCTGAATGAAGGCACAATAGGAATAGCGCAGATGTGTTTCGCAAAGGGCATCAATACCATCTCTTCTTGAAGGTGAATATCTCTCAATCTCATCCCTAGACATAAAACCATGTTCATCATCCTCCAATTGTGACCGACCACATTTACTGCTGACAGATGTAGAGGCTTCAGCATTCAATCTTATAGAAGGAGGAACAAAATTGCAGGAGTCCAATGGAGCAGTTCTGTGATGCATGTTAGATGGCGGATAGTGTCTCCCATTATCTCCCCAAGTAGCAGCTGAAAACTTTCTTCTTTTCAAAGGAGCACAATTCGGCTGTGCATGATAATAACCTCTATTATGCTCCCCAAACTGCCCAAAGAATTCGTGGGCATAGTTACAATTCCTGGTAAGATTGCTATTCCAATTCCAGTTCCTGTTCCTGTAGTTATTGGAACTGTTATTGTTGTAATTATTTCTATCAAAAGGGTACTGGTAATCATCCTGAAAAATGCCCCCTTGCATACGGCAATTCCGTGCAAAAGACATTGATCCTTATTTCTTTTTTGAAAAGAAACCTGAAAAAAGGTTAGAGATTCAGCATGAATAAAAATGAAAATGGGACAAAAATATCGGTTGGTAGGCTAAAATTGAAAACAATAAAAACTCATTCTTACAACAAAATCTAGAAAAAAAAAAAGGTAAAAATATGTCTCAGATTTCCCGTTTTCCCAGAATTTTAAGCCAAAAAATAAATGTTTGAATCTTTAGCCTCAAAATAAGATATAAAAAACAAAAGGTTCGAATTTTTGTCAATCAATTTGACATATACAAGCTAATTCATGCCCCAAATGCTTGATTTTCTAGATTTCCCTTCTAATGATCAGTTATTTATTAAATTAATTAGCTCTAATTATAACTAATACTACTAAAAGTACATTCTAATTTGGAAAAAATAAAGCTTCAAAATTAACCAGCAATTTGAACTAATTAATCTCCTTATGGTTTAAAAATAATACAGAATCCGAATTACAACACATGTAAAAACGAAACAAAAAAAGTCAAATTCTAATACAACAGAAAAAATAAATTAAAATTTTAACATATATTATATTATATAAACGTTAAAAAAAATCAAAAAAGCCAAAAATGAGATCGAATTCCAGAGAAACGGCTGATTTATCATAAACAACAAAAAACTTAACCATAAAATTAAAACAATTACCTGAATATAAAAGAGAAAAAGATAGAGAAAAAAGCGTGATTTTTTATGCGATTAAAGCAGAGACAATATAAGATTAAGATCCGTAATTGAGATGAGATTAGGGTTTAGAAGAAAAGGGAAGAAAGCAATGAGAGAGGTGGTGGAAAAGAAATGGAAAAGAGAACCTTAAAAGAAAAGTCCAAAGCCAGCAAATATATATATTTGCTTTTCTTTTCTATCTTCCTATTTAAACTTTCAAAAGGAAAAACCTATCAAAATTTAAAAAAAAAAAAAAAAAACAATATTAATATTAAAGAAAGATAAATTAGGTTAGGCCGCACAGCGATGTTGTCATATGAATGAATTGGTCGGACTAAGTCGGAATATGTCCTGTCCAAGACTTCATGGGTTCTTGTACTCGTTCAATAATTAGTGATTTGAATGCTGTCTCCCCTTGTTGGAGACTTTTTTTTTTTAATATTTATTGGTTTAATTAGTATTTTAAAATAATTTTATTATATTATATTAAATAAGTATTATTTATTTAAATAATATTTTTATTTTAAATATATATTATATTAATATTAATATAATTATATTTTATTAATTATGAAAATTAATTATTACTAATTACATAATACAAATACATTTGTGATTATAATTTATATGTTATTTATAGACATTTAATTTTATCTGAATTAATTTAAGTCTGTACGATTTTACATTTAATTTGAATTTTTTAATTTAAGTCAATTTAAGCGTTTAAATTACACTAAACTCGATTGGACTTTGTTTCATATTAATTATTTTTTTATTATTTAGCATAAGTCGAAACTCATTCTAATTTAATTTTGAGTCACTTAGACTTAAAAGTACAATAAAAATCAAAATCAATTTTAGACCCAAATTAAATTTTAAAACCCATATCCATTTTTATTATTTTTTAAATTTTATCAAAAAAAAAAAATAGAGGCAAAAGGTCGGCTACCATGACAGTAGCCTTCCTTCACTTTTCCCCTTTCCCAATTTTCACTTTCCTATTCCCTCATTTGGCTGCACCATTCTTAGCTTTGCTTTTATTTTTCATCCTCAATTTTTCTAACTAACTTCTAGCATTGGCTGATGAGAAAGCTATTATCCTAGAACCAACACACTGCATCTCCCGAAATACAATAATAGCCGTTGCAACTACATTCCAAAACACCAGTCCATAGCGAAAAAATACCAGAGAGATCTTTTACTAGGGTGGGGGTTTTATAAGGAAAGAATTCACAACACATACAAAAAGGGAAAGAAAACAATTGATGGAAAAGGGGAGAACAAGAAAATTTTCATCTTCTGATTCACCTTCAACCAACACCCCCATTTGAGCATACCATCTACAGCAAACTTCACCATCACTAGACCCCCACCATACTCAACCCATGCCTACTTGAGCTCTCTACGAAGACAACTTTCAACTTACCTAATATGAAACCAAAAAAAAAAAAAAGCCACCATACTCAGCCCCCAACCCAAATCAACCTAATCAAACCCTTTATCTCAATAAAACTACCTAAGAAAACACTACCACCATTTCATTGGCACACTCACATCCCAACCCCTAATTTGAAACCATTACAAGCCAAATCACCAAGCAATCAACCCCCCACCATAATCCACAAGCCTCGACCACTTACCTAGCTAAAAAGCTCCATCCTTTAACCCATTCTGCCTACAATAAAAAACCACCAAAAACCACACACATACACACACATACAGCCATTCGGCCTCTCTAAAAATCACCACCATCAACACCAAAAAAAAAAAATGAAAATGAACAAAAATCTTTAAGTGAAAATCCTCTAATGATGAGATATTAAAGAATTTCAAGTGGTGATTTTTAAAAAATCTCTAGGTGAGAATACTTTTTTAAAATACTAATAAAGTATTAGAGTATTTATGAATATATTCAATACAAAAAGTTTTCATTTATTTATTTTTTTAAAATAAAAAATAAAAAGAAATAAAAAATGAGTTTTTTTTAAATAAAGTTATAAAAATGTATGAATATTATTTGCATTAATTAATTGTCTTAAAAAAAAGTTTTGATGATGAGATTATATGGATGTCCAAGTAGTGATTCTTATTAAATCTCTACGTGAAAATTTTTTTTTGAAATACTACCAAAACATTGGAGTATTTGGGATAATTTTCAATAAGTAGTTTTATTAAAAATTAAAAAAGATGAATTTTTAATAAAGACAAAGAAAAAGAAATATTGTTTAAATTAAATTATGAACTTCATATTTTACTATTTACATAAATATAATTTTTAGAATAAATATGAACTACCAAGGATGAGATTCTTGAAAAGTTTGAATAGTAATTCTTGAGAGATTTCTAGGTGAAAAAGTTCCTTTTAATATTACTAAAGTATTAGAATATTTTTAGAAAATTTTCAATACACAAGGTTCTTATTTATCTTTCAAATAAATGATTAAAAAAAACAAAAAGATGTTTTGGTTGTAATAAATCAAGGAAATCATTTTTAAATAAAGAACTTAAGATCTTTTTATCAAAATTAAAGGATAACACAAGTTTAATTGGTACCGTTTTTAAAATGGACATTGTGGGGATACTAATATTTCCCCATAAACCAATCTCTGATTTCAAACATCAAAATTATCCTTTTAATAAATTTTAAACTAATTTTGGGGTTTTATTAAAAAGATAAACGTGGTCAATTACACTTAACAAAAAAAAAAATGATAGTGACTCCTTTTGTTTTGATATTTTCAAAATATTCATCTAGTGGTTTTCAAAATCATTATAATAACTTGACAACTCTACTGGGTACGCAAAGTTTTTTAGAGTTAGACCAAAATTAATTATGTGTTATATTTAATTTTGATTTAATAGTCTTAATTGGCATTTAAATTTAATTTTTCTAATTTTCATTTTTTTTAAATAACAATAAATAAAAGAAAAAAAAATAATTGCATCTCATTTTAATAATGTCATCCATTTATTATTTGCTTATTTATTTTATCCCGTGTATATATTATCTGTAAATTATGAAGCACTTAGGATACGGATTATGACACTTTATTCCCTCATACAAATAATAGCACATTCATATCATGCATAGCTCTATACCTAGGCTCCAACCTTTTTAGGAGTGAGTAAAGTACCTATACTCTTGTGGGATAATAACTTCGATAATGGCAAGCAAAATTCTCCCATTCGAATTGAACCATTTCTATTTGTAATCTATGATAGGTAAAGATTATGGTATCTTACTAGTCTATCATGGAACAACAATGAGAAACAATTTGAGAACTTTTAGATGTATAAAACCCAACTCGACTTATAGTGAACATTAAGGGCTAGCTTAGGATAAAGCCATCTCAAATACTTTTATAGAAAATACCCAAATTAGAACACATAAGGAACATTATGATAAAATTTGCATTTAAGGGTAATAATATGTAAAAAAATTTAAAATTTTGAAAAAAAAAAGAAATGAAATGAAATAATATTCCTCTAATAAAATTTTCTTTTGACATGTTGTTGGTTTTGTTTACTATTTGTCTAAAAGTCACATCTTAAAAAAATAAATATATTTTTTAAGAAAGATTTTTTGTATTTTCCAAAAATTAAAAAACAAAATTTTTTTTTAAAAAAGAGAATTTAAAAAAAAAAGGAAATTTTTTTTATTTCTTTGTTATTGGCCAAATAATAAAAGCAAAAATATGAAAGAAAAACTTTGAATTTTGGTCATTTTTTGTGTTTGTGTTTTTCTCATAGGAAATGTTTTACTGAATTCTTATTTCCTTTTAAAGAAAAAGGAAAGAAATTTTTTTATTTTTGAATGCTATTGTACTTTTCGCATTTCATTTTATCCTTTTTACATTCATTTTCATCATTTTTTGTATTTGAAAATAATAAGATTGTACATACACATTCCTTTCATGCATATTTGAATGGTCATACCAATTTCATTAAATTTGCATAACACATTATAAACACCTAAATTTGTCCGAGCAAAATCCAATCATTTGTGAAGCTTTTAGAATCCAACCTGGCTCAAATCTAACATTTCTTTAATTTTAACAAGTTCTTAAAATCAAAATTTGAACCAATTTGACCCAAATGATCTGAGGTCAAATTTGGTCAAACTTAGTCAAACAAAGTTAATTTTGGTCAAAAGTAGTCAAATCAGATTAAACTTGAGATAACTTTTCAAAATTCACAACCACATGGGATTAATTAGCCATAGAATGATATTTGAGATTTTAAAGCATTGAAAACTTTGTATTTACTTTAAGAAAAGTAAAATTACAAAAAAACCCTTCAGGGTATTTTCAAAATTTAACCTTTTCGAAGTCAAATTTTTGTAAAAACTTTCATATCATAATTGAGATTTTTTTAATGATATTTGATTTATTAAAAACCCATATCACACCTTGAAAAGTGTGAAAGTGCTAAAATACCCTTATGGGTATTTCATAAATTGATCTTTTCGAGGTTGAAATTTCACGAAAAGCTTCAATCATGATTTAATATTATTTGATGATTTTTATAATACTGAAAATCTTAATCATACCTGGAAAGGTGTGAAATCATAAAAATACCCTTCAACAGTATTTTTGTAATTTAACTTTCTCAAGGTTGGTTTTTTACAAAACATTTTAGATCATGTTTTAAAATTATTTTATAATTTTTGATGCATTAAAAACCTTTGCAACACCTTAGGAGGTGTGAAATTATTAAAATACCCTTTAGGGGTAATTTTGTAATTTGACTTTTTTTATGTTAGATTTTCACAAAAACTTTCAGATCTTAATTTTATATTATCTCATGATTTTTTGTGCTTTAGAATCACAAAAATGAAGGTAACATTGTTTTCCAAGAAAATGGCCTGGAAACCAAAAACTTTCTAATGTGAGGTAAAATAATCTTTTCTCTTGGTTCCAATAGCATTAAAATTTCAACCTTTGGCAGAAAGCATCTTAAACCATGTGATCATCTTAGAAAGCTAAATATAATGGTGAAAGATGGCTTCTTACAAAGAAGAAAATGGAGAATATGGACCATTAGGTGCACCTCTAATCCAAGGGCCATGATCAATTTGAAAAGATATTTTTCATGCTCATTTTAGAAAAAAAAAAAGGACATGAAAGAAAAGAAAGGAAGAAGGGATGGAAACACAAAAAAAAAAAGGGAGAAGAAGAAAGAAAGAACATGAAAAGAAGAAAAAAA